AAGTCCACGCCTCAATCCCATAATAGACGTAGCAACTAAGTACTCGATTGCGAACGGAGAGCGAGAGACCTCGACACCTACACGGGCTTTATGTTATCCCAGTCTTCATTAACCTGATATCCTGGATATCTGTATGATTGTACCCGATCGATCTGTAGGTTCTGTACCTCCAGAATACCTCCTCCAACCGGGTTCTTACTAATCACCATCCATTTAGTTATTTTGGCGTTCAATTTTAATCCAAATTCTCCACTTTCAGTAGCCAAATGATCAAGATATATTTTGAAGACCTTTCAGAACATTCTTGTAGCGTTTTCGTTGACCTCCCTGATTTCGATTTCTCTTGTGTTTCGGACATGCGGACGAGGTGACCTGTCCAGCGAAGTTGCTGCTTAATAATGAGGGCTTCCATGCTAGTTGTTTTGACCCCTCTCTAAAACACTAATGTTCGTTCGTCGGTCCTGTCATTTTATCCGTAGGATCCTTCTTAGGCAGCGCTGCTGGTATTTTTCTAGGCTTTTTATGTGTCTTCTGTAGGTGGTCAAAGTTTCGCAGCCGTATGCAAGTGTTGGTATTACAACTGCATCGTAGACGCGACGCTTGGTCTCAGCGCTGATGTCGTGATTGTTGAAGACTCTCTCTAGAAGTCGCCCGAATGCTACACTCCAAGGGAAGTTGGATTTCAGCGTCAATGGTTGCATTTGCTTACAGATAGCTCTAGCTAAAGTTGATTTAACTGCAACATAATCCCATGGCAGATGAACAATAACAGCTCTCATTATGTCGCATGCCATCTATAAGGATTCGGTAGATAGCGTTCCGTAACAAAAAACGAACTTTTTTTATAATATTCACCATAATTACGATAAACTACATCATACTGAACACCAATTGATATTGATTGTAATAATTAAATTTATGTTTTGAGCGTTTATAAATGTCACTTGTGTGAAGTGCAGAAGTGATTTGGTTGTAATTAAACGCAATGTAATTGTCACGGTGCGTTTATATTTGCAAAACAAACTTCAACTATTATTGATTTCAATTTCGGAATAAGTGTTACATTATTATTTGCCTTGGTAATGTACTAAACTGGCTAAACGCTGCGTGACACGAATAAAGAAATTTTATGGGCTTATTTGAATATCGGCAATTGCGAATAAATAAACCAATTCAGGCAATTTGCATAACAAATAATAATTAACTACTAATCAGGCATGTTGTTCTCTTCAATTGAAAATTATAGAGGATAATATAAAATATTCTTTTTACAACCAAGCGGTAATTGAAGCTTCACCCCCTACTTTATTTGAGACTGATTTCTGAACGCAACTCTTTGCCACAATAGATGACTTTAAGTCACCTTGACATTTTAGCGTCATGAATGTAGAGTCGCCGATGACCCTATGGATTAGAGACACTAGTCACCGTTGATCAGAAGAAAGCATACCTCTGGGGCTTAACGCCAGAGTTTACCAGGCAGAAATGCATTCAATTCAAGCATGCGCACAGGAGGTTCTAAGGCTGGGTTATAACAAACGGAACATAAGCATTCTCTCAGACAGTCAAGCTTCTCTAATAACTTTGAACTCACATCGATTTACTTCGAAGATAGCGCTGGAATGCGTACACAACCTGGAAGCTCTGTCGTCAAGGAATAACCGAATAACATGATGTAGGTTCCTGGGCATTCGGGGATAGAAGGCAACGAAAACGCTGACGAACTGGCCAGAGCGGGCGCAGCAGCACCCTATACAAGACAGAACCCGCATTTGGGATATCGAAGCAGGTTAATAAGATCGCAGTTGAGGTACTGTCACTAACGCATACTCAGATAAGACGGGGGTGGTAGGACTACTAACAGGACACTGCAATCTTAAAGCGCACATGCAAAAAATGGGAGTCTATAATGACCCAACGATATGTAGACTGTTTGGTGAAGAGGAGAAAACTGCCTCACACATAATATACCTACTACTGTGAACACTGGCTCGCTGAAGACACAATTTATTTTTCTGATAGCTATATAAAGTAATTCTGAAGGCTCATACTCTTCCACAGTCTTGGCACACCCAGCCTCTGGCAGTAATGCCTCGTCCTCTGTTCTCTCGCTCCTTCCTGCGGCCGTCTTTCCGGTCTCGCGTCTGCGTCGTTCTTCTTCAAAAGTGGTCCGTCGTGGGCTACTCGATGCCATGAGCGCCTATTATTTGCCGTCGTCTTTCAGTTGCTGGTATCGATGCGGCTAGTTACCATATTCTTCCTAAGAACATTCTTGTAGCGTTTTCGTTGACCTCCCTGATTTCGATTTCTCTCTTCCAATTTCCAATGGGAAACTTGCCAGCAAGCTGCTTAGATCTCATTAAAGGGACGGAGCTTAGCTAAAGCTTAGACAGGGGGTAGCACAATAAGCATTAAGGCTGCAGTGCAAATCGGGACACGAGCAGGCCTGACCCCGCCCTAAACCAACGTGACTCTTGTGATATTGTTAAAATTATTTCAATAGTTTAAACCAAAGGCTTCTGGAGAATGAAAGAAAATGATGCTCCCGATCTGTTTATCCCGGATATGAAAAGATGGTGAAATTGTTGTTTCAGAAAGCAGCATCTATCTTTGATTGAATTATATTGCGATCGAACCACTAACTCTGCAAGTCACAAAATGCCTCAATGGCAGTCTAGAAGGCGTGAAGACTACCCGCTTGGGATCTATAAATTAAATATGCAAAATGGCGTGTACCGATATTTTTGCCAAGGAAGCAAACCACCCATAATATGTCTAGCTAAACTTAGCGGTTTTCAGGTCCTGAATCGGTCTACGGAACTGTATGAAACAAATTATTTTTTCGAATATTTTGACTTATTTATATTGAAAATCTTAAAACTGGTAAAATAAACTGAATTTGCTACTGACATGAGTTTTCCAAGGAAATAAAAGGTTTAAAACCTGATGAAAATCAATCAAAGTAGAAGGATTAGTTAATTAAACTGAAAGTGGAAAAATGCTTTATATAGGAGGCCTTAAATTGTATACACCAGATGTTTCTCAAAATCTCAAATAATGAAATTGAACATAAATTTTCATCTGGCAATCGTGAAAACAATTTGGTATTATTTAAAAAATATATTTGAAGGTTTTTAATATTTCAGTGTTTGAATTATGATACATTTTCAACTAAGTTTCAAACAAAATTAATCAAAACATAACTTCACGTGTTCACCGAAGGTGTGTTTTGAATGAATTTTATTTAAAATACATACTAACATAAGCCGAAAATTGAATGTGAAATAATTGTTCATTAAAAGATTGTTGAAATAAGGGAGGCTGCCTCGTGAAAGACAAAATCGTGAGGAATCCGATAAGTTATTGTCTAACTTGGACATTTAGACAAAATTTCCCGAATGAATAGAATTTGTGAACAAGAAATAAGTTTGCAAGTGACTTAATCATAATTATCGAGGCGTAGGGATGTGGCGACTCCATCGCCCAAGATTCGAGTTCAATACTTTATCTTGCAATCCGCCAGCCCTGAGCTCGAAGGACCCAATCGTCTTAGTTTCTATGCCATTGGGTCGGAACTCAAGCTTAGGGACCACGTTAATAAAAGCCACGCACAGGTATCTTCTATTCTAGGAAACTTAAGACCATCAGATTCTAAGCACACCAAAGTCCTTCGTCGATCGTCAAGTTGCGACGGGAGCAGGATAGTGTAGTTAATAACAAATCGGCACGGTGGCGGCGGATAGCGTGATCGCCGTTTTGCTCAAGGATTAGTTGTAGAGCTCATGAATGAGCAGCCGTATTTAGGATCCGCTCTGCTCAAAAGGGGAAGGGACTATAAAAGGTGCCCTTAACATAGCCAGCCAACAACTGCCCGACTGGATAATCGCATCCAGAGGGTGCACCCCATACGTTCGAAACAGATCGAAAAAAAACTCAATCTTTCCACGTGGAATATTCGTACACTTCTGGAAACCAGCACAAATACAAGACCACAGCAAGAACGGCAATGATGGCACGAGAATTAGAGGGATATAACATCGATATTGCAGCTCTAAGCGAAACCAGAAAAGCAGGCGAAGGTCAACTTAAGGAAAATGAAGAAGGCTATACGTTTTTCTGGAAAGGGAAGGAAGAGAATGAACCTCGCAACCACGGAGTGGCTTTCTCCATAAAAAATGAATTCATGGACAATCTTTCTGAGCATGGATCACCTACAGAAGACACATATAAAGCCTAAAAAATACCACCAGCGTTCCCTGAGAAGGATCCTACAGATTAAATGGCCGGACCGACGAACGAACGTTATTGTTCCAGCTCGCGTTTCAGAGAACAACTAGCATGAAAGCCCTCCTCATCATTAAGCACTAACTTCGCTGAACAGGTCACCTCGTCGGCATTCCCGACACGCGTCTTTCACGACAGATTCTCTACAGTCAACTGGAAGTGGGAAATCGGAATCAGGGAGGTCGCTACAAGGATGTTCTTAGGAAGAATATGATAGAGAGCCGCATCGATACTAGCAACTTAGAGACATGGAAAATTATAGGCCGTCGAGTAATCCACGATGGACCACAAACTTTTGATGAACACAACGCAGACACGAGACCAAAAAAAAAGACCGCAGAAAGGAGCGAGAGAACAGAGGAAGAGACAATGCTACCAGAGGCTGATTATGCGAAAACTTTGGAACGTGTGCGAATCCAGAACTGGTTTATAAAGCTATCAGAAAACTCACAATCGACGACAATAAGAATAGAATAGAATAGAAGATAATCATACTTGGTATCGAGTGGTGATGATGACCGCTAGAAGCCGATATTACTATAAAATTTCTTACTTAATATATAAAAATAAAATTGCTTGAATGCTGATACATTCTTAGCAGTTCAAATGTAACTGCTATGAATATACTGAATTCAAAAGTGACAAATATCCAAATTCCTATATAATTCAATTACTCATTTATTACATTACTTAATTTATTCTTTTAATTTTTGCAGGTGAACATCCAGCAGCAATGCAACGGGGTAAGAATTCGGCATCGCCAATACCTGGTTGGTCACATCTCTCGATTGGATTGGGACTTGCTGCTTGTACCCCACCACGGTTCGCTGTAGCAGTAGCATTATCTCTGGCCATTATAAGTGAGGTACTTTCATGTTAAGGATATAATAAAACATCCAGGATCGGTATGTCATTAATGGTAGTATTGTTCAATTTTTAGCAGCCCCGTTGTAAAAATACCGTTGTTTTTATCGTGAATTCAATTACTTTGCTTTATATTTAAGTTTTAAGTAATCAAAATTACTTTTGATGATGTATTGATCCAAATATCTTTAAGGATACTTTGGTTGTGGTAAATATTAACATAAAGGGGATGAAATATATCATTATTTACTTTTTCAATGTTACGTACCTAGTTATTTTATAAAAATGTATATTACGATTTATTTTTTAATAAAAAAAAAAACTGATAGGATAACTGAGCTTAGTAGGAACGAGAATTTTAGCCAAAAATTATTTAAAAAAAAAAAATGTAGGGTTTAGGAAATTTTAACGATTAATGATAACTTAAAAGGTCTTGTAAATATTAGTGTTAAGCATTTTAAGGTTTTTATTCTACTTTTAAATAATTTCGCCCCCTTTGTGCACATCTTTCTTTGATATTAATTGCTGTAATATTTAAAGAAAATTTTATATTAACGAATAAAAAAAAACTGTAAGTAATAATATGTAATTGTCATTTTTAACGCCTAAAATGACTTGACTAAGCAACATGCAAAAAAGTGCAAAAAAGTGCTCAACTAATATTAAAATACTAACTCATAGTTAGCTTTAAAAATAAAACCACATGTATAATTTAAATACACTTAGTTTAAATTGGTACAACACTTGCGTTAGGTATATTTTTCTAATGCAAATTCAAAAATAATTGAGTGCTGTTTTTGCTGCATAAAAAAATACCAAAACACTAATTATTTCCCCCTTAAATCTGTTAGTGGATAACTTCTTCAATTTCCCGTTGGGAGTCGCTATTCTAGGGAGTACGGCTTAAAAGCTTATTTCCGGCAATATCTGATTTAAATTTAACTTTACGCTAGGTGACGCTATCTCAAAATAGCGTTCCATATTATAAAACACAGATATCTACAACAAGAATTCGCTCGGAAATACAATTATTATGCATAAGTATTTTTAGCCGCGGCCTTATCTCGCGAATAAAAGAACTTGTGTTTTTAATCAAAAACGTCCAAGATGATTGTCTTTCATCAAGAGTAGCAGCAATTTGTAGTAAATATTTATTTTAATTTGTGTGTTGCATTGAAACGTTAAAAACAAAATGAATATATCTAGGCCAAGCAATGAAGGAAGTTTACCTCAACATAATTAGAAGTTAACATTTTTTGGGGAGGATCGGTTCATTTTCATGTGCTTAATAACATATTAAGTTTGCGACCTTGTACTTCCATAGGGTTTTTAATTAGGGGTTGGTTTTAGGGGTAATTTGCGGTTTATGGAAAACGCTGCTCAAAGGGATGGTCCAATAGCAAAAAGTTTCAAATGAATGTTGTAGCTGAAGTTTTTTGCTATAAAAAAAACTCAGCGACAGCACCCCTCTATCTTCTATAGTTTTTTTTCTGCAGCGTCTTGAATAGTAGCATGTTTTTATTCAAAGTTACTGAATCAACGTTTTGCCATTTTGCGCGCATTTGTTGCAGCAGCGGCCGAATGCATAATCCGATTTCAATTTTTCAAACACCACATTATTGCTAATGAAATGCACTCTCCAATGCTTCGAATTTTTTGCTTGAAAATTAAGCGAGCACGGACTTGTCTAATGTGCGGGGAAGTTGTAAATTGCATCGAAAACTACCCCTTTCTTGCATTCATTGTAATTTCTAAACGGGGCCAAATATTTGGTGACAGTTTTCGTCAATCGGCAGCCCATTTATTCCTCTCATAATGCCCCAGTGGATTATTGAAGAATAAATGGGCTGCCCAGATTGTCGAAAACACTTTAGAAAATATTAAATTTATTTCAGATTGGCCAAATAAAATTCAAAAAGTGTCGTTTATATTTCGGATTAGACAATTGAAATTTCAAAATAATTATTAATAATCATCTTTTAGCTTAATTGTTTTTATGTTTTATGTTTTTATTTGTGTTTCATTTAATTTAAATTTGTGATATCTGATATTACTCCTGGCTGTAAACAATATGTATTTGGAAGCTTACCAATACTTTCTTCTCAAGGTTGGAATACCTTCTCAACAGGTATGAACAATAAACCAACTCAATTTTCGAAAATATCTTGTTTCGTCTGAGGTATAGTTACAGAAAGAAAAGCTATCAAAAAACTGAAACCTCTCATCTGTTTGTACCGCGAAAACAGTTAATTATGTTTCCACGTTACAGTTTTCAGAAACTTTAGGGCCATAATACGATTATTCAATTGGATTTTCCGCCAAAAATCTACTAAGCTAAATCTTTATTATGTTCGAACATTTTCTTCTCAAATCCGTTTTTGGTTGACTAAATCATCTACAATAAAATAAAAACTTACAAGAAAAAAAAAATCTAAAATGCCTACATAAACATCAGAATTCGCGAAATATAGATGGGTGTCTATGTAGAATAACTTGGTTGCTACATAAATATGTGCATGTTTTTAACGGGCATCTACGCATGTATTTTTTTTTAGGTCTACCTTTTGTGAATGATCTTGCTTTTTATCTGAATCTGTAAGTTTGGAAGGGTGGTATGCAACAGTACTGAGGCAACCGTAGGCCCATTGTGCGCCTCTACAAGGAGAGAGGTCATTCTTAGCTCGTCATCTAGCTCGATTTTTCGTAGGCAATGACTTCGCCGAGGCCGGTGCCTCTGATCTCTTCTTTACTAGCCCTACACGAGGGTGTGGTGTTAAGATGCAACCTGAATAAATGTCTATCTAACTGGCAGTGGCCAGTCAAGAAGTCTGTTATTAGGCGTAGCCTTTTCCTGGTCAACGACAGTTTCTGGCTCGCTGCAGCTTTATCTAGGTAGCTCAGCAGTTCCTTGAATAAGTTGCAGCCAATCGCATCGTCTCAGCGCCTTTCGAAAAGAGTGTGGGTTCGTTCTGCGATCCTGTACAATTCTACTGGGTGTCTTGTAACTCTGGAGAGAGCCTTCCAAAACTGATCTTAATTCGTAACAAAGGGATTTACACCTACTTTATCAATAGGTGGCTAGTGGCATAAACAACCACTACGATTCTCAAATGTACCTATATGAGAATCTAAACCGCATTTATCTTACCTGTATTATCAGAAACAATAATCGCTTGAAACGGCGAAGTCCACGTTCAAAATCGTCTATAACAATTTGATTCCATGATATTAAATCAGTTTACCTACCCTTTGAATAGGCCTGACTCGATGAAATTCCGGTTTGGTTTAAAAGCATACGACACAACCACTACAACCAGAATAATGATCGGTTACGTTGGTTTTGACATACAGGATAAAGCCGGTCGAGATTAAGGTTTTGACTAATTCTTGCAAAATTAAACTGATTTACATTCTATCGTCGAGAGAGCAGATTTAATTATGGTTTAGCGGTTTAAACAGAAAAAAATATTCAATTTTTAATTCAATATACATAGATAATGGTTTTATAAAAAAGATGCTATGTATAGTACTTGTTCCTGGCACTTTCTTGTATTTATGTATTTTGCTTGAGACCAGTCATTTATTTCTAAAAAAATATATTCCAGATATATTTATATAAACTTCGTTTAATGTGCTACATTCATAATAGTATAATGAAAATATTTCTAATTTATATGCATATACAATGGCCAAGTGTTTACACCGCGAACAAAAGTTTTAGAGGGAATCAAAAGGGGGAGTATCACTGAATGCGCTTTTGAACGATAGGTATTTACTTTACCAGGGTAATATAATAAATTTATTGTTTTGTCAAAGGAATGAGCTACACGGATGCTTTTATAAATATTAATATAATAAAATAATAATAATAATGTTTATTTACAAAATTTTCAAATTTAAAACGTAAATTTGATTATGATCAAAAATGAGTTTCACCTTATGAGCTTTGAATTCCAGAGATAAAAACTAAAAGTTGTATTATAGTAGAGGTGAAATGGAATATAAGTCTTAGGACTTTGGTTACATATTCATCTTGGTATCAGAATTGAAGATCTGAAGAGTGATTATTGAGAATGATTCCCATTGCTCTTAAAATGTTTCCCTTTTGAAGTACGTCCAGCAGGCCTAGTAATAAAAAACTCCAACAATTTTGAAATTAAAGTACAAATGTTCAATTTATTACGTAATTACGTATTATTACGTAATTACATATTATCGTAACGGTGTATGGTTGATATTTTAAAAACAATGGTTCATTAAAAAAAAAAATGACACTAAGAAAAGTAACAGTAATATTAATTCACATGTTGAAGCATTATAGGCTCTGTGGATCTTTTATTCTACTACCCTCAAGTGCGGCTGGACCAAGGTCCTTGTTAGCCAACAATAACCTCAGATTGTGCCACACAAAAACAGGTACGTCATATTGACATTGACACAATCTAAGGTTTTTGCTAACTGACAATTATGGATGTAACCGCACTAATTAGGTTTCAACCAAAGTTCCACGAGTTCGAACTCTCAAAATTGAATTCAGACACGACATATTTAATTTTTTAATTTTGAAAATCAGAAGCTCTTAAAAGGTAACTCGTTATACAATTACTTACAAAATCTAAAAATCATTAACAAACATCCTGATGGCACTTACTTAAAAAAGTACTGAACACGGAATTATTTGAAAAATACAGTCCAGCGGTCTCAGAGGCCATTTCAGTTAAAAGTTATGGTAAGTTAAGGATGATGTTTTGTTTGTAAATACATTTTTTAAGAAGAATGCTTGATTACGTTAACTCGGATAGATATAACAATTTGAGTGTGATTATAACTAAGTAAGTTAGTTCTAAATGTAAAATGGTTTATCTAGAATGGTTGATTCTAATATTTGAGTAACTTGTATAAAGATTTGCGCTGTACACTAATATTGTTATGTATCATTAAAAAGTTTCCGTTTTGTTATATTATTGATTTTAATTGAGAATGTGTGTAAAAAACATAAGGCATTCATATTTCAAACTGAATGATCTGCTGTTACGAAAATCTGTATTAGCCATAGAATTTTATCTTTTGTGTCCATTTTATTGATGTATTTTAGGTAAGAGCAGAATGTAATCCATCTTTATGTTAAATATATCGTTAAAATAAAACAGCGGATTTTATTTATCGACCATGTAAAGAGAATCATTTCGCAGGAAACTTTACTAAGAGTTGAGTTAAACTTTAAGACTTGGGGTAGTTGTTAAAAGTTTGGTCTTGACTCGCTGCATGTGAAAATATTTGGAAACTAGCTCAGTTTTTTTATATTATATTTATGTATCTAATAATAATTCAATATTTTTCGATTCTTATATTCGCAGAATTCCGAGAAAACTAGGGCATACCTACCTTGATCATCTGGCAATTAATAATCCAGTGTTAAAGTAGCTACGAAATTGATTGCTTTTGGAGAATGCAAAAATAAACATGATCAAAGTGGATGAAGTTTCTTGTACTCAACCACTTGCAACCCAGTTATAAATCAGATTTTTAACAGTACCGTAATGGGTTCTTTCACTTATTTCTGAAATTAGCATAATTCAATAAAGCAACTAAAAATAGAATTTTCTGCACCCTCAATTTTGAGAAACATGGAATCTTTGGTGAAAAAATAAATAAAAAAGAAAACTCTCTAAATAAAAACACGGATCTGCACTACGTCTTGAATTTTGACAGTGTCGTCACACATTGTTAGCAGTGAAAGTTTTTAATACATAATATATTTAATTTTAAAATTTAGGCAAAATACCTACCAAGAAAAATAATTAAATTAATTACTTAGGGATTCGAGAGTTTACATATTTTTTATTTTTTTTTTCAATTATTATCATACACAATTTAAATTTAGTTTGTGTAATCAGTTTGAATTTTTTTCACGATGCACTACATTAAGTCACGACTGGCAACAGCGCAATCAAAACTTTAGGCCAGCGGCCACCTGAACAGCTGTTCGTGCTTTGTCGATGGAGTCTTCTTAAATTTGATTGGTAGAAATATCGCTTATCGTCTGGTGCGTTTTAAGGATATGTATATTTCAACCGCTGACCAGAACCGAATATATTTGGCTGATCCTATTTACCATCATATTCAGGTTGTCTCAGTTGAGGTTTCCTGATTATGTTATTGGCAATTATGAAAATTGAAAAAAACCCTCTTTAGACTAAACAAAAATTCGAATCAGCTAAAAATTATTTTATAACTAATAAACTAAACTTAACCCATGAGATACCCTATATTCAGTATAGCATATGAGATGATAATAAAAAAAGGGTAGGTAGGTACTACATCAACTAATATTTTATTCAAAAATAGTTGCCCCTATCTATAATATTTTTTATCTTTTTTAAATAAAGGAGAAACTTTTGCTGTTCTTGTCAATTATTTTTGATCATTATAGCCGGCACAATAGCCTAATTAAAGAAGCGAGAGAAACTGGAAAATTGGACGTACCAAGCGCTGATGCAAACAAAAAAGCTATATTTAGTTTCGAAGAACTTTAAAAAACAGGCGATATTGTGTTTTTCGGGCTACAACTTACTCGTGAGTCGTTTTAAATATTGGAAATTCTAAAAAAAAAACTAAGTATTGTCCGCGTTAGGAGCAAGAAATAATTTAAAATCGATTCAGTATACTTATAGGACAAAGTTGTTGGAAAAATAGATAAATTGAATGGCCTTAATATAATAGTTATTTTTATTATTATGCCAAAAAGTGAGTATTTTGTTGTAGGTATGGCATCTGGGTCGACTGGCATATTTGCAACATGTTATCTTCAAGGGGCTACAATCACTGCTTTTTTTCATCAATTTTCGAAAAAATAGAATGCTGCTACTATAATTCACGACGTATGTTGAATCTATTTGCTTCAAATATCAAATTAATATTAGGTCACTAAGAACACAACGATTATCCGATTTCTTTTATACTCGTCTCTATATGAAATAATATAATCCATAATATTGAACAAAAACTGTAAAACGAACTAGCAAGAAAAAACGGACAAACTACCGCATACATAAAAATCTTTATGGTACTAGGTTGGTTGGTTTAGGGGTCAGACGTGCTCGTGTCCCGATTTGCACTGCAGCCTTAAGGCGTAGGAGAGAGTGGGGCAACTTCGACATGTTAAGGTTTGCAAGATTTTAAAAACGATTTGTATTTACAGAAACAGACACAAATTTATCTAAACATAGTGATAACATTTCTCTAGTAGGTAATAGGCATTTAAAACCAATATCGTATAAATTCAAAGAGAAAAATATTTTTTTTTACATCAATGTCAAATGACGAACTTGCCCTCTCCTAGGGGGCAAATTCGACAGCATTATTCTGATACAAATACCTAAATTTTATTTTCTACCTAAATCACAGCAAAAATTAACATCTCTTCTTCGTATACATCAGATCGTTTTTTTTTTATAATCTCTAACCATCCTAGAAACAAAAATAATAGTTCGACAGTGCCGGAATAACGATTGGCGAAGTTGCCCCACCCAAGCGGATTCTAGTAAAATATTTAAAAACATCTTACAGGAGCCTTTTTTACCGCCTATTATCCAATAGTTCTACAAAAGATGGGTCAAAGTCATTCTGTAAAAATTAACTTGCGAAATAGAACGCTCTAACGGAACGAAAGTATTATTAAAGTAATAGCCAATCCTTAGATCAGAAATTTAAAAACTCGATAATTGCGTTTTATGCGACAAATTGAGTAGCTACCTTCTCCAGACTTAAGAAGCAACTAACTGATACGTACGATGCACCCTCAAGCCAGTTTCGGAATTTCCGAATCCAACCGATTCCTAGTAAAGCGCGGTGACAAACTTGCCTCGCTTGTCGAAGTTGCCCCACTCTCCCCTATTGTGCTACCTTCTATCTTGCTTAAGCAAGTTCCGTCCCTTTGATGGCTTGCTGGCAAGCTTCTCATGCGGGAGTCTCTCGCCGCGTTGTATATGTATAAATTGTGTCTCCTGCGAGCAAGTGCTTCGAAGTCGTATATCATATGTAGGGCGGTTTCCTTCTCTTCACCACACAGTCTACACTCATTTTCTGCATGTGCGCTTTAAGATGGTAGTGTCCTGTTAGTAGTCCTACCTTATCTGAGTACTTCAGCTGTAAGCATCTTTGAGGGGTTTCCAATTATCCTCTTCGAGTGTCTTGCTCCAGGTGTGGACCGCCAAAAGTCGAGGTGTTCATGGGTCGACCATCCTTCAACTGCCGTCTTTATAACCTGCTTCGACGTCCCAAATGCGGGTTCTGGTCTTGTGTAGGGTGCAGCTGCGCCCGCTCTGGCCAGTTCGTCAGCCTTTTCGTTGCCTTCTATCCCCGAATGCCCAGGAACTCACAAGAGCTTTATCCTGTTATTTCTTGACGGAAGAGCTTCCAGGTTGTGTAGGCATTCCATCGTTATCTTCGAAGTAAATCGATGTGAGTTCAGAGCTGTTAGAGCAGCCTTAATGTCTGTGAAAATGCCTATGTTCTGCCTGAGCATCTCCTGTGCGCATTCTTGAATTGCATGAATTTCTGCCTGGTTAAGCCCCAGAGGGATTCTTTGTTCTGATCTTGGTCTTTCTGTGGTTTTTCAAACTTAACATTTGATCCGTTCGCATTTCCGCTATATTATCGTTTTTCAGGTCGATAACCTTTGTGTGGTATTTCTTTCCATGCAGCGATAGCCCTCATTCGGTGGGCGTTAACTATGGCTGCCATTTTAATGTGAACATTGAGAGGAGCTATCCCCAGAATTGGTTCCAGCGCTGCAGTGGGTGTGCTTCTCAAAGCTCCGGTAATGCACAGACATGCCAGTCTCTGAAGGCTGTTCAATTTATTGACCGTCGTTACTTGTTGTGCTTTTGTCCACCTTATTGCAACTCCGTATACAACTATGGGCCTGATAACCGTGACGTAAAGCCATAGCATTATCCTTGGTCTCAGACCCCATGTTTTTCCCAACAGACTTCTGCAGTTTTGCTTTGTTAAGGTTTCTCTCTAGATGTGCGTTCCATGTTAGACCTAGGTATTCCACTTCGTCCATCGACCACTATTATAATCCTTTTCCCGAAGATGCTTAAGTTGTATTCACCCCTGTTCCTAGATGCTAATGGATCACCTCTGTGTCAAGTGTTGACGGCAATAAAGTTCAAAATAGACCGCTTGAGGATAAAATATTTTTTGAATTATTTTGATGCTTCAATATTATACTTATGACCAGGTACGCAAAACTCTATCGGAAAACCCCTATTACAGCAATTAAAACGAACGTAATTTAAAAATATAGTTTATGCAGATAACGGGATTTGACACTCCAATTAAAACTGGAACGGCCAGTTCGATCGTCCGCCGAGATATTCTGCCTATATGACTCAGTACAAGAATCTGGAAAAAGTCATATGGAATTTTACATTTCGAATAATTTTTTTTATAAAGCTGTATCTCTTTACCAATTTCGCGAAATAGCAAAAAATACCAATAAAAGCACTTCAGATGAGAGTGTTCAATTTAACGAGCGAGAACATTCATTGTATCGCTATTATTGTCTAATTAGAATGTGGCGTAGGGTCGCAAGTGGTGAACAGCCAAATGTGATACGGGAATTCTCAAATACGCGGTCGTCCAGGGTCCATCTGAATACAATTAAAGACCAATCACTATCCTCCGCATAGCATCGTTCCATAATCATTTTAGTCTGTGTAACGGGATGTCCTAGTTTCGTAATGCTTAGCAAAAGCGGGAATTGCTTTGAGTGTAACACGAAATAAAGAATGGTTTAGAAATTAAATTGAAGCAGTAGTAATGTACGATAGTTTTTAACGGCTTCAGGCAAGGGTAACCAAATTGTAAGAAAGTTACAAATATAATCAAAAAGTAATTTAATGAGTAGTATGAGTAGAAAAACGTTTCTATACACATATATACAATTGTCCCTGAACATTATATCAATTTGCCTTAACATTCTGCTGTGTATAAACACAGAGCACTTAAAAGAGACGTTAATCTTAAGAACAAACATACCTGTCAGGCAGAGTAACATTGATGTATTATATTTGTCGCTTTACGAAAACGGCTTACCAGCATTAGGCAGCATACAGTATGCCTGCGTCATTGTGTCT